ACTTCGATTTAACAAAACAGTTTGGCTGAAGTCATTTTCACAACAATGTTGACACCAAACACAAACCACACAGTAATGACTAACCGGTTGGTACTCACGATTGTTCAAAAAGTCCGTTTTTTAGTTATTCAGACGTCAGATCTTTCATTTCGCAATTAGAAGGTGAAGACAATAAGGGAACAATCCTTACTGGAGTTTTCTCAGGAGCGTCACTCAAGTTGACGACAAATAATGATGGCTTTCATCCAGGGAAAGACTACCCACCTGCTCTGATCTGAACCAGGCACGGCAATCAAACCATCCTTATGCATTACATCAAATCGCTTCAAATTGGAAATACTACTTTCCAGGCATATCAAAAGCGTCCAACGGACATCCCATCCAATTAAATGAAACATTCGCTAAGAAGAGACCTGTCGATTATGTGTCGATTTCAAAGATGAAATGCAAGCAAGTAAAACGTCTTGCGTGACATTGCCCACGAAAATAAGTGAAAGGTCAATTTAGCCTCCCATAGTGTTGTGCATAGACTTACCCAGAAAAGCCGATCTTTTAGTGAGTCAAGTTCTTTGACCACGTCTTGTGTGTACCATTTTGGGAGAGTGGCATTGTGGGATCTCAGGCAGAAGAGGTCATCACCGATTCTCCACGTATCCAACAGGGTGATATTTTTGATTCCGAAAGCTGTACCCACAAGTTCTATTGTCTTTTTATGTTCTTTAAACAATCTATTTCCTTCGTCTGAGTGAAGCATCTCATCTCGTCGTTGAAACAAGCGTAAACATGGTTTCGCTAGCAACAGCGTATCTGTCGTCTTCAAATTAATAATAACATTCTAATTGTCATCAGCAGTTTAATTAGTTTAATTGACCTAATTGATAGTGACTATACAAGAGACGGTTAGTCCATAATAACTGAGGCCACGTAAAGGTAAAAGGGACAGATTAGAAAAAAATTTTGAATACGATAAATGAATAAAGGTCAAACCTACTCTAGGCATGGTATGAACTGGAACAGGACGCCAGTGTAATCCATATTTACTAAGTGAGGTGTTTGACCGGTGAAAAAAACCGGCCATCATTGCTTCTGCCGACATCAAAGAACGGTCCACA